TTTTTTTTTCTGTTCCACTCTCTGACACCAATTTGTTATGTCTCTGTATGTTCGTTTGTTAATTTTCCTGCGATACACGTCCTTTCTGAAATAAAACTAGTTTATTCTTCCTCAATACAACTTTGCAATACACTTAATTTCCACAGTTACTTTAACTTAAACACACGCTATAATTCACAACAATTCACTCACTTTACTACTGCGCTTGACTTAATTGTCTGTCTCTATCTCCGCCTGTCAGCAACTATAGTTCTGGTCTCTATATCTGCTATCCTTGGTTCCCACCCACTGTAACTGCTGTCCTTGGTTCTCCACTCTCTCTCTCTCTGCTTGTCTCCTTTGTCTAGCACACTTATATACAATAATAGCACCCATGTAGCCTCTTCGAGAATCTTCTAGAGTCTAGACACTCTTCACGCGCTACCAGCGTCATTCGACTTCCGCTGTCGTAACACAAATGCGTGCATGGCACGCACTAGCGTTTTTCGATAATCTTCTAGATAATCATTACATGTTACCAACGTCACGTGACTTCCGCTGTCGTAACAATATATATATCAGTTAATTCAGACAAAATTATTAGCATTTCGCACAAATCTTATGGTGAGTATAATGTACAACAATATGAATTCTAAAAATTTGCACAGACTCAGGTAACATCAAAATCCATATATTGAAAATGAGTTAAAAACTGACAAAATTTAAGTATGCTAATTGCCTCACAGTTATGACAATCACATGAACGACAATATATCGCAAGTAATATTTAGATTTAACCTCATTGTTTCAATGATGTGAAAACAGAATATGCTCACTGCTTTCAGGTCAGAAATTATTTACCTTTGTGTGTGAATGTTTTACCCATAGTGTAAAACACACAAAAACATTCATTGACAATCGAGCATTATCAGAAAGAGAAATTCAAATGCTGGGTTCTGTCAATAACAGCTAGTTGTAATGCTAAATGAATGTTGTTTTGGCACAATATTTTATTATATATACTAAATCAAACCTTACACAATCGTTATCTATATTGTCACCATTGACTAACTGGGAACCAACAATCCACCACTATCTTTTCACTGTAAAAGGTTACAATTTCTTACAACACTGGAAGAACATACAAACTTGCCTTTACATCTTGCACGTTATTATTTTGGACAAAGTTTCTGATTAACAGTCAGCCATCTATGTCATAATTCTGAGGCTAAATTTGGACAAAAGTAACTTTTTTAAAATTAGGCTGTATATTTGATATGATCATAATGCCCTTTTTCCCATTACTAAACCACCATTATAGAGGATTTCTTCTGCACCAACAACAGAGATATTACAATTTCAACAACAGCAAGTGATGACAAAGAGTAATGTTTTTCTGTAATACATTACCTGTACTTTTTGGCTTGATATTATGTTTCATCAACAGCATCTTTGAACTGACCAAAGTGAGGTTGTTGTTCCAATATCCATGTGAACGTATAACATTGAATGGAAGTTGACTGTGGCCTTGAATAAGACAATATTTCACCAATAAAGAAAGTGAGCCCACTTTGATGTACTCATCGTAAATAAGTATCATGTTAATAATGGTAACCAAAAGTCCAAGCATAATTGTGTCTTTTGGGCTGTCTGGTGTAAGGGACAATTTGCAAGCTTCAACCCTCCATGGATTGTTGTCGAAATGGTCTCCAGTAATGTTTGTTAGTTGGATGCAAGAAGGCCCGGTTTTATTTTAGTAAACAGGTTTCTAGAGTTTAAAATGTCAAAAATTCTGTAAATGAACTGCATGTGACAGTGTAGTTATGCTGGTACATGGAAGGCAGCATGATTACTTATTGTGGTACAAGGGTTGTACATGAAGATAATGATCCTCAAGCAAGTTAATCTAAGAAAACTTTATATGATCTATGCTTAGGCTGTAATGAAAAGTCTAGGCCTATTTATTTGTAAAAGCTAATGCCCCTATTATTATTTTTTTATGGGACCATTTTAAACATCTATGCTAGTTACTTACTCACACATTGCGGTTGAAAACCTTTTTAAACTTGTATTATAACTTGCCTCTTAAAATAAAACAAGTTATAGAGTGGAAAGATTGGCATTCAAAAGCAATGACATGAAAACTAACACCTAACCTTTTTATTCATACAGGAAATTTGCCTACTTGTTACCACACATTTAGAAAGGTCAAATCACATGGATAGCTCATTTGTGCCACCTTGAATATAGCATTGTTTTAAAGATTAAGCAATTTGCAAATGTGGGAATTTAAAGTCAAGAAAACCACGTTCCATTTCCCCTTTATTGGTACATGAAATTTATGTATAACCTCGTATTTCTATCCTTAATGTAACTAATAGCTTGATTTTTCCATAACAATTGGAACTTCATTTTAAATATAATTCAGTACTTGCAGATATATGTATATTACACTGCACATTGCATATATTCTTTTGTGTAATCTTAACAATTTGGATGTCTTTCTTTTGACCATTATACATAATCCAATTACTCTTTTCTCTGTATTACAGAAATAGTGATTTTACACACTGTTTATGGATGCCTGCCTAACAAACTGCCTTTTGTGTTTAAAAACTTTATTGATAGATACTTTTGTTTTGTCTTGTGAAAATAATAAAAAAATTTACTGTAATAAGTAAATAGTAACTTACAATTTTCTTTCTGCATTCAATTGAAGTGGCAGGTGTTCATGTACCATTCTACCCAGCTTTGTCATTCCTTCAACTTGCAGAACTGTTACTGAGAAATCACACAACAAGACTTTCTTGTCAGCTTGTATTCCTTTTCAAACTTCTGTGCTGAAAAAACAGTGAAAATTTCATCAGAAGAGACCCCCAAAAAAGACAAGAATGTGTTTGATGATATCTTGAAATATTTGAAAAAAAGGTTTTCCATTATCTGAATAACAGTTTATCAGGACTTTAGCCACATAAAATATTGAATCATTTTAGGTATACTGATTTAAATCTGCTTAGACATAATTTTAAAACCTTAAGTTTCATTTGAATGAATTACAGTAATTTACATAACACTTATTGTTCAATGATGTTGATATAGAAAATGTTTCCACAAGTATTCCAGAAACTTCAATTAATTTCAGTATTAAACTATACATGTCTATGACCCATAGAGAAGTGCCATTTTTTTTAATGATAAATAAATGAAGACAGAATTGTATGTAAGTTGACACAGATATTTTGTTAATGGTTACATTGATTTAATAGGAGATGACAGTAATGACAAGCAAACTGTCAAAAGTTTTAAAAGACTGCCATGTTTCATGTACATTTTTCCTATAAACATGCCTATAATGAAGCGTGGAGAGGTTACAAGATACTGAAATTAATGGCAAATAACTGTTAAATACTATTTACCTCCCTAATGTTGGTTTCAACAGACATTTCCTGAAACAGTGGCTAAACCAAGCATTACACTGTGGGTAGTTATGATGGTGACACTGAAAACATATACACATAATTAAGGTTTAGGTTATGAACAGTAGCTCTAATTTCAAAAATATAAAAAATAAGGATCGCTGAATGATTCTTACCTTAGGAGAATTAAGTCCTTCATGGGAATATTATTCAATGATTACAGATGAAGTATTCTGCAAACTTAACCCAAAAATTGATGCTGAACAACAAACACTTCCAGTTCTAGGCTTTGCAGGCAATATTCTCTTTACCTCTAGGAGCAACGTAGAAATGATCCATCATCTCCATACCGCATCAACCTTCTTTAACAAAAGAAGTCTTCATCTAAGCTTAAATAAATATACTGTCCTCTCCTTGTGCCCTGAAACAAATACCAGGTTAAAAAGCTCGATCAAAAGTCAGTGTATAATATATTATATACAAATCACAATATTCTATACCTTCTAACAACAGAATTACTATCTCATCTTGGTATTAAATCTTTGACAAGTGGCAAAGCTGACTTGAAAACATATTTGAGGGGGAGATAGATGAAGACCTTAATAAAAAACAATTGTTACACCTGTCCTAAACCTCAACAAAAGGTACTACTAATTAGCAAGTTTTACCTTCCTCAGCTTTTACATGCATAATCTTTATCTCAACCAAGAGCAAAGGATCCAAATATGATTGATAGAACTATTAGGAATGGCCTTAAGAATATTGCAAGCTCCCCATTATTTTTCTAGTACAGCTCTTTATGTTAAAACTTTTGAAGATCTTGGAATTTTAAACTTTAGAGATATTATTCCTAAATTATTAAAAAGGTTAAGGAACTTGGAAAGAAACAATGTCCCTATTATTAATGCCTTTCTTGCAACAGACAATATACAAAAATAATGTGATAAGACATGCATCAAAAAGAAATGGAAGAAAAAACTACATGAATATGCTAATGGTAGAGGACTCAAACAAATATAAGGTTCCTCAAGTAATAGATTATTAATAGTTGAAGAGTTTCTGGATCTATTTTCACCTTGCTTTTGAAATTAAAGTATGGACTTTTTTCAACTTGAACACCTACAGAGGAAGATTTAACTTTCTTCAAAATTGCAGAGCAGGGTACATTGGTCAAGTAGAAACTCTTATCCACATTTGCATATCATTGCAGTAATATCATGCACAGAATGTTCTACAACTCTGTATGCAAGAAAATCAGAGACACCCTATGTAAAATAATCAGATATAAAACTATAGTCCAGGAGCCACATATTTATGACTAACTTAAGTGAACTTACTCATGATTTTTACAAATACATTTGGTCCCTCATGGGTTAACATTACATACTTGGAAAAAATTACAAATAAGAAGCTATTAACCATTATCTTCATGACAAATACATGAAGACCTTTCACAGAATCCTGGGATTTCATGGAACACACTTGGAAAACCACCAACAGATGTAGGAATGGTCAACAACTTATTTAAATTTGCTAATAGCTGTCTATTATAATAAATGAAAGGTAATGCATGTGGGATATCACAATATGAATTGCAAGTATAGTTTGATAGAAATAACCTTAACAGTGCTATGGAAAAAAAACAAAATAACTTGTAGTTCTGGTTGATCAGTCTCTTAAGCGATCCAAACAATGTGTTTTTGGGAAGGGTTCAGAAGACTACTAGGTACCTAAATGTTGACACAGCCACTGTGTCAATGAATACAGATGTTTATATGGCAACACAGTCCCTGTATCAGTCTGTAGTTACTTATGTAAATGAAGATGCTTTTCATACATTAGCAGTTATAGTACCCTGTATTGTAGCAGAAGATAGCAGCTTTTCATACATTAGCAGTTATAGTACCCTGTATTGTAGCAGAAGATAGCAGCTTTTCATATATTAGCAGTTATAGTACCCCATATTGTAGCAAAAGATAGCATAAAAAAATCTAAGTTGCCTATTGTCATAAATATCTAAGAAATAGTTCTTTTGTCACTCTCATCTTGTATAAATGATGAAGTACACCCCTTTCAACAAGTAAAATAACAAAACATTTTAATAAATACAATTCTCCTAATAAGCAGAATCCAAAATCAGACACTTTTGTGTTTAGCTACAAAAGGGTAAATCCTGTGATAAACAAACTTTTTCATCTTATGCATTAGTCACATTAATCCGTTGTTAGTTTTCTTCAATCATATAGCACACGCACAGAGACATTTATTCTGAAATTCCTTTTATCTCACACTTTGTTTTGGAATAATTCACCATAGAGGTAAAAGACAAATTTTCTCATTTCCCTGAGTACACTTTCTCCCTGAAGTTCCTTTCTTGGGTTAATTTTTTTTCAATGTCTTCTAATTCTTTTTCCTCTATTCAACCACTGCAGGTTCTTCTACCCTTGCTTCCATTATTCTTCCTTCACCAGTTTACCTCTGGAAAATGTTATTGCTCAGCTACATATCAGCACTTGAATTAACCAACATAGAAGAAATATAATCTACAAAATCCATAACAGTAGTTTACATTCCCTCCCCCATATAGCTCATATTCACTCCACAGGAATGAATAAATACGTGTAACATTTTTGCCGATGTATCAAACATTAGGTGGGAAAACCATGCAAGATTAATGCAGAATGTTACTCATATTTTCAGTCACCTCTTTAATGCCAGTTGAGATGTGTTTATATTCTGCCATTCCACCACAGAAGAACCAACCGTCTAATGCATCATATTTCAATAGCCAGAAGGTGTGTGTGTGTGTGTGCGTATGATTCCAAACAGTTTTAGTTCATTGAATAACATCATATTTTTGTCGTTAATATACATAGTTAAATGTAAGTAATTAGACAAGGGTTTTTTGGTTGTTGTTTTTCTGGTAATAACGTTTTGCCTCCAAGATTGAGAGGAAAAGATGGCTGCACAGTATCTTCAGCTCTTATGATACTGATTATAAGAAAAAATTAATGTCTGAATTTGTGAATTTTCTTTGGCCCCAGGTTTGGACACCATCACATAAAGCAAATGTTAAATATCAGTAGGACTTGTTTAACTCCCTTTCTTAAGTTTTAAAATATCTAACACCAATTTACTATGCTACTTTTAAACATTTGAAGTAATTATATTGTTGCGTCAGTGAGGTCACGTGACTAGTATCACGCCACGTCCTTCTCGAACCTTTGTGAATTATCGGGAGATTACTAGATATCTGTTAGTCTTGTATATATAAGACGTTCACAGTTCACAACGTTCAATGTGTAATTGAATGTAAGCTGATAAAATATTGTTGGCCACGTGAGTTATAGCGTTTGCTATAGAGCGACTGTTGAAATTCAGTGTATCGTAAAGTTGTATTCGGAAAGAATAAACCAGTTTTATTTAAGAAAGGACTTGTGTCGCTAAAGTTTCGTCGGAACGAACTTACGGAGAATTAACTAACGAACAGAGACGTAACATTATTGTTACCCATTGTCTCCATAATGAAAAACTTAATGTGAACACATTTAGCTAGTTTAGCTAGTTGAGGTGGAAATAAACACGATATTAAGTTAGAAGGTACAGTACACGCCTTGATATTTGGACAATTCTTCTACTTTCAATATCAACTTCAGAAATGAGTTTGTTGACACAGAAGCTGTGTCACTACAGACACACAAACATTGACACTGAGCTCAAGATACCATACAAGCATCAGTAGGGTATGTGGTAATAATCACATTCTGTAACAATGAAAATCACTTAGATATAATTGAAAAAAAAAATCCATAATTCCACTTTCCTCATGGTGTCAGTTACAATGTGAGAAGAGTTTTGGTCAAAAGTTAAAAGTTGTGATATCCGATCAGATACTCCACCTACCCCTGCTGGCTCAGTGGTAAGTATATTGTTACGACAGCGGAAGTCGCTTGATGCTGGGAGCATGCGCGCTGGAGTTTCTGGAAGGATCATGAATTATCGGAGAGGCCCGAATTTGTTCGAGGCGCCCTCTTTTTTTTTTTTTTTTAGTATATAAGCTTGGCGAGAAAAACCAGCACCATTGCATAGATAGATAGATTTTGAGATAGATAAACGGGTCAAGGGAACAGTAGTGACGGTAATATAAAGTGTGTGTTTTGTTATCGAGATTGCAAACGTATTGAACACAGTAATTCCACAGAACTAAAAGTTTGTATCGAGAAAGAATAAACCGGTTTAATCAAGAAGTTCCTCGGAAAGAATTTATACCGGAAATTAACAAACAAGCAGTACTAAAGAGAGGGGGACTAGTGGCTTTATATGTAAAATGAGAGTTACATCCTGTTGAAATTGAAAATATCAAAGATAATAGCAAGGAGTTTGAATCCATTTGAGTTTCTATCAGCGGATATAAAAGGAAAAGGCTTTTAGCGGGAATTTGTTAGAGACCACTAGATGATACTGATGAATTTAGTGTGAAACTTTACAATGAGATTAAGTTTTAAGTTGTTAATGAAGTCATAATTAT